GTTTAGATTGTCAAAAAGCCTGTGTTTTTAGGGTTATTAACAAAGTTTGTGTACTCAGACCAGAAATATTTAGGGTCACAATTTTTTGTCGTGGGTCAGAAGATAAAAAGTTTGGGAGACACTGCTCTAAAGCACTAACAGGGGAACTAATTTCCTAATTAGTGCTTTAGGGCTTTTGCTCATTTTTAAATTCATTAGTGGATTAGCACTTGCTAAATTTAGAAGCACTGAGTCTTTAAATGTTATTGATCAACATTATTGTTAACCGTTGAGGGTGAAAGCTGTCCTCATTTTATTCATGTGTCACTTATCCACTAGGTGACATATTGACAATATTCTGCATACAGTAAATATTGTCTCATGACAGCAAACCTTCTTAAGTAAATTCTGTTTCTCTCAGAAGCTGTAAATTCTGACTGCAGTCCTGCCAATAATAATATAACCCTACCATAAACAAAGAAAAATGATCAACGAGCAAGAGAGCTAGCAATCCTCAACAACTGTTAATAACACCATGAGTGAAAGGTTTGTTTCAACGAATCTCACATCCCTAAACTACGTGGACACATACTATAAGGCTGTGAAATATCAATGATGAGGYTCAAGAGAGCAACATAGCAATGCAGCATGTGACTCATGTTGTCTCTGAACAATGTTCAGATCAACTGGGTTAAATTAGTGCTTTAGAATTAGGGGATCTAAATGTTTGAGTTAGTGCTTTAGGGCTAGTGGAACTCATTTTAGGGTCTATTCACACCACAGTTTGTTTCCCCCGTTGGTCTGGGCCTTTTATGCAGGTGTGAATACACTCATRCGAACCCTGGTGGATCAAACAACCGGACCAAGTTCTGAGGTGGTCCAACGAGYCATTGTGGGTCAGGGAGCACAGAGCATCTTTTCTCCTTTAGGTTGCAGCCCGCATTTGACAACACTGTCTCAAAATCATAAATAAATCAACGCAAAACCAGCAGTGAATTGGCTGCTCGTCATATTCTTAACAATCAGTTGTAACAGCACCATCTTTATTTCTGTGCTGTCCTGCCCCGGTCATTTCTGTCCAATGGGAGCAATGAYTGTCACCTGCGTGGCTTTGTTTATAATTTATAGTCCACTTGCGACAAGTGAATGCAAACCACACCAAAGGGGGGAAAATGTCCACTATTTGGTCCGGACCAAACAAGTGGACCAAAGGACAGTCCTGGTGTGAATACACACCTTTAGATTAGTGCTGCCCACCACTATTTAAATTATTCAGTAGGGGTCTGAATTCCTCCTTTTTGTAATTCCACAAGCCACAAACTCATATCAGCTTGTTTTRAGGCTGCCTTTTCAAATCCAAATGAGGTGCTTCACACCCGCCCCGCTCCATCTTCCAGACCAGTTTGATGGAGGCGTAATGTCTATCTAGCAGTGTAGAAACTCTTTATTTACAAATGAATTAAAAGACAATRGAAGACTTGTTCATCCAGCCTCACATGTTGGAGCCAGAGTCTGACCCAAGAGCCAGAGGAGAATGAAGACCATCTTAATTTAGAAGTTCCCTCACAGTAACAGTTCATAAAAAAGTCACAGGAAATAGAGAAAATGGAACAGGTTGAAAAATGTTGACCCAAGCAGAATATAAAGATATCTACGCATCACCAAGAGAGACTAMATTCTACTTTTCTGCAAGTACACAACAAAATGTATTTCACAGCTATAAAGGTGTATTTATATGATCCTTATTGAGTGGAATGAATATCGTTGAAACAATATTAACAAAATAATWAATAGTGCTTGTATTGTGTACAGGTTTTTTTTTGCAATCGTACTTCCAAGAGACCAGAGCAGAGGTTCACCTCTCAGCAGGACCAGTGAAGAAATTTTGTAACTGATTAATTGTTTTGTATTTTATACTTTCTGATCATTGCAGCTTTAAGGCCATGACAGAATAAGAGTTGGTGTGTGTGTGTTATCACGTGTTCTTTCTCATAGCCATAACAAAACTGAGTGACGTTCTGACGTCTGACGTAAAGGTAAGACCTCTGGGGTGTAACCAGGAAGAGATGTACATTATAAGCTCAGTTCATTATTATAGTAGAAAGAAGTTGTCAGTGTTTTGCAGAGTGTCTGCTCAGAGCAGAGCTCCTGTGTTTGTTTTGATTCAGTCCAAGGTCTTACTGAGGCCTGTGCTGCTGAGCGCTGTATGAACCTTATTGGAGTCAGAAGATCAAAAATAAAGTTTTAACAAGAAATCCAGCTGAATCCTGTTTATTCGGACATACCATTTTTAACAACACATATTTTTCCAACAATTTGGTGACCCCGACGTGATGTGTGATCTTGAATA